TCAATGTGTGAGTGAATCTGCAAATTCGTGCTGTTCCATTCTAAACTATTTTGTGACCTGTCTAAAGAAATATATCACAAACTGTGAATTTCCAATATCACGAGGGGTTACGCCAAAACAGCCACCAAAGATAATTCGGAAATGAAAAATACCCCAACAAATGCGAAACTGAATACGAATTTAGCATGAAAAAAGTTGGAAAAATATTTAGGATCAGTCCATTATGAGAAATAACTCAACATCAAAACAACAAACGGTTCAAATGTATTGTCCTATGATTTCAAATGCCTCTTATTGCTAATTATTCACTGACATAGTTCTCAATGAAACGTTATCAACACATTTGAGACGTTGATTTCCGTAACGTTGGACAGGTACTATATTTTGGGATCTATTTTTTAAAGGTCTAAGCAGTCATTCTATATTTATTTGAATCCGTTCTCATCTGACAAATGATCGTGTGGCAACATAATGGTTCTGACCTTGGGTGTGGGTTGTCACAAACACAAGGTCGCCGTGATTGTTTACACGGGTAAAGTACTCCTTCAAAGCGGTAGAGCAATACTACTTAAACATATTCACGTTTTCCCTTGCAAAACACTCATTGAGTATAATGATTTCTAGCGCTTTTCGCCAACGTGTTATTTTTAGATCGCTCACCTTGGTTGCAAGGTGTCTCAAACAGTTCCCCCAATACGTTGTTTGGTTTTCTGACGGTTGCTCAAAGTTGTGTCTCGCCATTTAGGTACACAACGACGATGTGTGTTATGCAACAGACTGTTGGACTTGGCAAAACATACATTTACATTTGTATTCAGCCATTCACAACTTATCGCAGCTATCATGATTCAAATATCGATTGGATTTCCAAGGGCAAATTCAGACACCTCCTCTCATTCGATGAGGTGGTGGTGGGGGTGGGGTGGAAGAAATTGAACGTATCCCTACAAACAAACAAAAAGAGGTCGATAACATGAGCAACGAATCGATCCACAATCAGATACGGGTGTAAAAATATAGATAGACTCGGAACAGGCTCATAGATTTATTTGCTCTCTTCCTCTTTAGGTGAACTAGAGCGGTGGGGTAGTCTAGTGGTTAAAGTGTTTGCTCGTCAAGCCGAAGACCCGGGTTTGATTCCTTACATGGGCACAATGTGTGAAGCCCATTTCTGGCGTCTCCCGCCGTGATATTGCTGGAATATTACTAAAAGCGGCGTAAAAACTAAACCCACTCACTCACTTTATGTGAACTGTAATTACGTGTTGTTAACTAAGTGAGTCGGGCATTCGCTCGTCAGGTGCATGGAAGACAGGGTTTGATTCCCAAAATGGTAATCCCCTTAGTACATGGTGCTGGAGCATTGCCGGAATATATACTCAACCAAATTAATGACTTGACTTAAATCAACAAAGGAAGGAGTGTTTGCATTATTAGTGAGTGAGTTGAGTTTTACGCCGCACTAGGCAATATTCCAGCTATATGGCGGGTTTGCATTATTAAGAAAATAGATATGTATCATGCTGCCATCATCAGTTGATTGCGGTATCATTTTTATAAGGAGTGAGTGAGTTTTGTTTTACGTCGCACTCAGCAATATTCCAGCTATATGGCGGCGGTCTGTAAATAATCGAGTCTGGACCAGACAATCCACTGATCAACAGCACGAGCATCGATCTGCGCAAATGGGAACGGATGATATGTGTCAACCTAGTCAGCGAGCCTGACCACCCGATCCCGTTAGTCGCCTCTTACGACAAGCATGGGTTACTGAAGGTTCATTTAACCCGGACCTTCACGGGTTTTATAAGGAAAATATTACATGACATTTCATGACTCTCCCAGCCATAACTTTACACTGATAAAGATGTTGGAACTGACAAAGTCAAGAACGAGAGTTACCTCCTAGGGCGGCTGTAGGGGAACACAACGTCCCCTTATGGACAGGTGAACCTGTCGGAACAATCGAACCGGAAGTCGTCGCCATTTGCCAACGAGCGCTTCCCAGCTCATCCTAAACTGTATTCGAAATGCTTCAAGTCTGATGCCAGTCCATGTCATCAACAACGACGTTACATAAGACGTTGCCCGTCAGAACTGTAGTAATGGTGTAGCGTTGTCATGTAGAAATGTCACACCAGAAGCACTGGGGTCAAATCTTGGTCCCGATACTCTATGGCAGTAAGATTCCTCTGGACGACAATCATTTGAGATTGTCCGTTTGAACAAGATGCTCCCCAAAACGTGATGCTGTTCCCTCCAAATCCATTGTAAACGTTGAGCACGAAGAGCGTCAGGTTAGGTCCTGTTAATGGTCGATTGGCAGTCCAGTGGTCGGCAGTCGTTTCCTGATGGTCTGTGCAGACAATATAACCCTGGGTCCCCATCCACAAAGCCTTCGCAACGTTACGACATGTCGTAGCTCTATAGTTTATCATAGGCTTACAACAAGAAACTAAAATGTAAAAAGACTCAATGCAGACAGTCCCTCCAAACAGAGAAGTCATTGTTCTGACAAATTCCACAGCACATTTACATGCTACGTTTTAAGAACATCCTTGATATACTCGGATTACATGATGATGAATAGTAACTCCTCCTATAGTTGTGTCTTGACGCCGCCTACCCGTAAGCGATTCCTGTATAACTCCCACGTGTTTAGATCGGGGTTAGAACTGGTTTCAAGCAGCCACGTATGTCGTGAAAGGTGACTAATATTAGGAGGCAGTTACACCTTTGCTCTACTAAAGCCTTGGATTCAGGAAGTAATAATCAAATTATAGACTCGATCACACTTCTTTTTGAACCCCGTAGTGACGTCGTGTAAACCTTAAAACAAGTAACAGATGTATTTTATTCGTGGAAGTAGAAGACAGTAAAATTCCCATTTGATTGCGTTTTTATTTTCTTAATGATTTAGATTTTTTTATCATACCGTGAAACAAAAAATACTTCCAAAGATAAGTTAGGGAAAAACAAATCTCACCCTAGCGAGTGCATCATTGTTAGATACGAGTACATCGACACCAGGGGCGGATGCAGCATTTTTAAGAAGGGTGGGGTGGGGGGTGCACACTATTGAGAAAAGAAGGGGTGCACATTTCATTTCCACCCGAGTTTCAATGGTCATTGAACAAACTTCAGGACGGGGGGGTGTGTGTGTTTTGCAATCGGGGATCTGGCTTCACGTTCTAGCGCAGGACTGAAGTACTCTACTGACGGTAACCCCATAGATATGTTCAATTCTGCAAAGCTAAAGCCCTAAATGAAGAAAGTATAAATTTCCTCAGATTCTGAATCTCACTCCTCACTATATATTCACAGAGTAAGCGTTAGTCTAGCCATCACAGTACCTCTGCCACCGGCCAACAATCTTGACCAGTACAAAGTACAAACACACGCACGCACGCACGCACGCACGCACCCCCGTGTTTATCAGCATATGGTGATGTGAAATTGGCATCCTCCCTGGTGAAATTAAGTGCAAAAGCCTCCATATAAGAAGCTCGCGATTAAGGAAATCGCGGTGAAGGTGAATTAGCCCAGAAATTACTTCCCCATGTAAAGGGAAGCCCTTGACGAACGTGGGATATACTCGAATTAGCAGTGGGAATTTGGCTTGCATTCAACACTGGTAGACTGTGTTATTTGTACCGTGGCTTGGAACACTTGCCAACACAACGCCAAGAACTTTAGAGGCAGTAAGTATACCGTTGTGTTTATAAAAACACACACGTACACGCACACGCACCCACACAAAGGCACGCTCTCACGCACGCACGCACGCACAACAACAACAGCAACATTGCTGTTTATTAAACGCCACTCACTCATTTGAAACGAACATTAAAAATGTGGTATGGATACAAACACACACACATACTTGCATAAATAGACACACACTCCCATACATGCACTCTACCATAAATACTTATATACATACATAATTTCATCTACACACTTGCACGCACACACACACACACGCGCGCGCGCCCAACAACACCCCTGATCCACCCATCTCACCGCAGGATTGCCAATGATTCTATCTTACTTTTTAAATAGATAGTGTACTGTTGATTGTGGCTTTAAACGCCGCTCACGAAACGAACAATTAAAACATAATGATACGTGGCCGCACATACACATACACACGCATGCACGTCGTCATATGAGCAAAATATTCTCAAGCGCGACGTAAAATCCAATTTCACCTCACATACATGCATACATGCATGCATGCATACATACATACATACACGCACGCACGCACGCACACAGACATACATACGCACGCACGCACACACGCATGCATGCATACATACACACACACACACACACACACACACATACATACATACATACATACATACATACATACATACATACATACATACATACATACATACATACATGACTCATATGACAGCGAAGAATGCAATTGACACGATACATTGCGTACATTATTATTGCTTTCACGCTACACTAATCAGCTTCATACCAATAACACGTACTTTAGGTCACGTTGACTGAAGTATCTGCATCTCCTGCCTGTCGTAGCTGCACGCGCCTAATGGACGCTCATGAACGCCTTCAAATATACCAGGAAGTTATTTCTCAACATCGATTCGTTTTCATCTTATCAAAACGGACGATTTACAAGAAACTGCAACGTCCGTATTAAAGAGGTTTCACTGTTTGCCTACTCCCCAAATTTGGGTGGTGAGGTAGCTCAGTGGTCAAAGCTTTCGCTCGTCACGCCGAAGGCCTGGGTTCAATTCCCTGCATGATTACAAGCTGTGAAACGGATTAATAGAACATTGCTAATAACGGCGTAAAACCGTAAACATCATGTTAACGTATTGAACACGGCGTTGTCTGTGTGGTTACTTGAACGTACACCGTATTGACAATATAATGAACACGCTTGATCCTATCGAGGCAACATATATAAGGCCCATGCACCGTAGAATACAATTAGTGGCTCAATGAGCGGAACGGGGACATATGCATAGGTTCACCTGGTGTTAAACATAGACATGAATGCATGTATAGCTTCTGGAGAGCTCTGATGTTCTCTTAGTTGCAGCGGACTTGTCCTAGGTCATCTTAAACACCAGGTTCAGGCTACTCCGGATGTTACGCTGAACGAGGATATATATTGATCTGTGTGTTGACGCTCGTGCGGGATGGAAGAAGGTAGGCCCAGTGTTTGTTTGTTTGTTTGTTTTTGTTTGTGTTGGATCAACGGCATTGTTGATATATTTTTAAACTGTTTGTATTTTCTGTGGTTTATAAAAAGGGTATTTATTCAACAGGTGCACATGAACTATTGGCTGTCTAGCCATGATGAAATAAGTTGACGAGTTTATTAATTGTTCATTGTATCATCTGGGCTCCGTTTCACAAAGCTCTCGTAAGCCTAAGATCTCTTCACGTTTCTCGTAGCATTCGTACTCCCTATGTTACAGTATAGGAGGTACAAATGCTACGAGAAAAGTTACGAGAACTTAGGCTTAAGAGAGCTTTGTGAAACGGGGCCCTGGTAGATAGAAATGTGCTAAGATAGCATTTGGTAGACAGGGGATTACCTTGAAGCAATTATATGACAGAGAAATGTGTCCAGGGAAGATAGTAGACTTGCACAAATCTCTAAATTAAAGTTAATAGTTGAAATGATAATTTCTAAAGCATAATAAATAACAGAATGGGGTCCTTTGAGTTGCCTTTTCGAACGATAGAAATACCATACACCCATGGGCTCAGCATTCAGTACAGGCTTGGAGCAAGGCTAGGAAGATAGTAAGGTGTTAAGTTTATCATTCGGCTGACAGATAAATATCTTGAAGCAGAAAGGTGTCGAGTTTATTATGTGATAGCTAGAGAAATGTGTGAAAGGTATTTTGGGGTAAATAGAAATACATGTACATCAAAGGTACTAAGTTACGGATAGAAACATATGTCCAGTGTATATTAAGGAAGACATAAGTATGTTCAGGGTATCATTTTATAAAAAGAGAAATGTGTCCATAATAGCGTTTGGCTGACGGGGAAATGTGTCCATAATATCGTTTGGCTGACGGGGAAATGTGTCCTTGGTATCATTTGGTGAACAGAAAACCGAGTCCTTGGTATAATTTGGTAGACAGAGAACCGTGTCCTTGGTATCATTTGGTAGACAGAGAACCGTGTCCTTGGTATTATTTGGTAGACAGAGAACCGTGTCCATGATACCATTTGATAGACAGAGAACCGAGTCCATGATACCATTTGGTAGTCAGAGAACCGTGTCCTTGGTATCATTTGGTAGACAGGGAAGTGCGTCCATCGTATCATTTGCTGAACAGAGAACCATGTCCATGGTATCATTTGCTGAACAGAGAAGCGTGTCCATGGTATCATTTGCTGAACAGAGAAGCGTGTCCATTGTATCATTTGATAGACAGATAAATGTGTAAATGGTATCATTTGCTGAACAGAGAACCGAGTCCATGGTATCATTCGACAGACAGAGAAATATGTCCATGGTATCAATTGGCAGAGTCAATTGGTAGGCAGAGAAATGTGACCATGGTATCATTAGGTAAACAAGGAAATAAGCCAGTGGTATCATTAGGTAAACAAGGAAATATGCCAGTGGTATCATTAGATAGACAAGGAAATATGCCAGTGGTATCATTAGGTACACATGGAAATATGCCAGTGTTCCAGTGGTATCATTAGGTAGACAAGGAAATTTGCCAGTGGTATCATTAGGAAGACAAGGGAATATGCCGGGAATGTGTCCATTGTATCATTTGGTAGACAGAGAAATGTGTCTATGGTATATTTTGGTAGATAGGGAAATATGTGCATGGTATCATGGGGAAGACAAAGAAACGTGTCCATTGTATCATTTGGTAGACAGAGAAATGTGTCTATGGTATATTTTGGTAGACAGGGAAATATGTGCATGGCATCATGGGGTAGACAAAGAAACGTGTCCATTGTATCATTTGGTTTACAGAGAAATGTGTGGAAGGTATTAGTACATGTGCTAAATGACTACAATATTCCAGCAATATCACGGCGGGGGACACCAGAAATGGGCTTCACACAATGTACACATGTGGGGAATCGAACCCAGGTTTTCGGTGTGACGAGCGAACGCCTTAACCACTGGGCTACCCCACCGCCCCGGTGCACATCAGAGAGCCCTAACCACGCAGCCTTAGAGTCAGAGGACAGTATGCATGTGAGAAATAGATACATCAAACAAGTTGACTGACTATCCCCTATTAGGTAGTCCGTTGTTTGATGTATTGCTGGATTATTCCAAATCATTATTCTTCCCGTCCACAATCACCCTTTCACTGTCGTCCATTACCCGCCCGTCTCTCGCCTACAACGACCTGTTATAATCTGTGACGTTACATGCGTGTCGACGCAAGTATGTTATTTTTACAAATACAGTCGCATACATATTCTGTATGAAGCCCTTGCATTGATATGAGTATAGGCACACCATTATATATATGTGCACGTCACACATTCCAGTCTCACCTGACGTTGCACCATTAATACACCCGTATGGCCGGGGTAAGTGGGATGTTTTGAGTGTATGTTTTAGAGTGTGTTTAGGGAAACATATTTTCGTGTAAGTAGCAGAGTGAGGTTTGACACGTAATAGATTCATTCGAGCAATTAGATGAAGTCTTGGTGATAAAAGGTCACGACCAGAACAGAAGTAGCAATGCCTTGTCAGACGCCATTGTGATTCTGGGGAAGGATCCTATGTCTTCTCGTGTGTCTGTTTCTGTTTTCTATTTTCCTTTGTGTGTATACCGTGTCTTACTAATGGTTTCATCAGCAATTTTGCTCTGTATGTCAAGCTCATTTCTGATGTCCCCCGCAGTGATATTGCTGGAATATTGCTAAAAGCAGCGTAAGACTAAACTCACTCTTTTGTTCTATGCAATAAACAAGAAGTTGTTATCTCTAAGTCGCATGCTTCATTGCCGTGTCTTAACCAAGACTTAACACACCCACTCGTGATTACTTGAAACTAAAGACCTCCTCCATTCAAACTCCATCTTGCCTACTTCAAACTCTCAAAGTCGCTTCTGCTCCAAACGCACATTCCTAATCTTGAACTACAAGCTGAACCGTGTCACTAATCCACAGTAACCTGCTCATGTATTCCACCCTTTTCTTATCCATCCACCATTGCAGATTTGTCAGTTATCCCCGTGTCTACTTCAAATTCAGCCCCCTATCTGCTCCAAATCCCACCCTATCTACTCCAAACCCGACATTATCTACTCCAAATCCCACCCGTATCTACTCCAAACACCACCCCTATCTTCTCCAAACCCCAACCCCTATCTACTCCATACCCCATCCCTATCTACTCCAAACACCACCCCGTATCTACTCCAAACCCCACCCTATCTGCTCCACCCCCCCGTACCTATCTGCTCCAAACACCACCCCGTATCTACTCCAAACCTCATCCCCTATCTACTCCAAACCCGACCCTATCTGCTCCTAACCCCACCCCTATCTGCTCCAAACACTACCCCGTATCTGCTCCAAACCTCATCCCCTATCTACTCCAAACCCCGCCCCCTATCTGCTCCAAACCCCACCCTCTATCTACTCCAAACCCTATCCCGTATCTACTCCAAACCCCATCTCCTATCTACTCCAAACCCCACCCCTATTTACTCCAAACCCCACCCCGTATTTACTCCAAACCCCATCCCTATCTACTGCAAACCCCACCCCGTATCTACTCCAAACCCCACCCCTATCTACCCGAAACCCCACTACCCTATCTTCTCCACTCACACCCCTATCTTCTCCACACTCAACCCCGTATCTACCCCAAACCCCAACCAATACCTACTCCAAACCCAGACCTTTCGCTTCTTATCCCCTGCTATACATTCCTTTCTTCCACTGAACCACATATCCCTCCCCTAAACTCACCCCGAGTTTAAATTAGAACATTCCTTGTCCACAGGAAATATTTTCAAACGCGCACGCACGCACGCACGCACGCACCATCCTCCCAACTCCAAAGCGACAGTGGTCATCTCACAACGTGCCACGCCCACATTAGTCATCCCATACTACACAAACAGTGGTGCATGTCTTCATTGATTTTCTATATACAGGTTGCAATTAATAGAGCAGACTACGTAGTGTAGATGACTAAAGCACGATTTGATCATCTGGGTGACTTAAGCACACTTAAATTTGATCATCGTTAATGAGAAACGGTCGACAACAAACAGAGGTCGCTGTAATGCGATGACAAATGGCATATAAAGGTGGCATGTAATTACGAGTCGATTAGGTCAGACTGACACTTGGGAGATCGAAATTGAAAATATTCATGAGGCAACGCGATGTTTATGAGAAGTCATTGGTCCTACACAAACATAGAATACCTGGGCATATTTATGACAGTTTAAGAGAGAGTAATGAGCATCGAAATGTCGAATCATTACTTTCATACACATTTAAACCAGGAGATCAGGAATGGTGGACCACGGCCGGTGTATTTAACACCCAGAATCACTCATAGCTTCAACATGCAAACAGTGCCGTGTCTCTGATGTAGAGCAGCGCAAGCGCAGCGTACAAAGGGAACCAGTCTGTCTCTGATATAAATAACAATCGATTAGTTGAGCATTATATCCTAAAGCAATTAATTCTAAACATGCAGGTTCAATCTTTTCCGTTTCTGCTTTTGCACTTATCATAGGATTAATGTAACATGCTATATATTTACGCAGGTAAAATATTGATTATCTGTCCGGCATTTACGTCAGACCATGGGCGTTCCATGCGTGCGTCAGGACTTTGGAAACTTAACTACCCTTTCTGATCTATATGCTTCCGCCACATGATAGCGTATTATTAGTATATAAAATGGAAACATGCGTGGTTTTATTTTGGTTTAAACAGGGATACTCTACAACAGGGCCTTATATAGTCTCCCTGGTTTAATCAGCAACGTGATCGTGAAGAACAATGAATTGATGAAACGCCGATGTGACGTCCGTGGCGGTCTCCTTAATGTGTCTTTGGCGTGTCTGTGCTTGTGTCAGGGGCGGGTCTATGATTAGTGTCTGTGGCCAGTATCTGAGTAGTGTCAGTAGCGAGTCTCTGATTAGTATCTGTGGCAAGTATCGGAATAGTGCCTGTGGCGA